TCATATTGACATTACACTGTATGGATTAGTAAAATATGGATGGTATCTCCGGTTTGGTTGGTTGGATACGAATACGTGGGATTGAATCCGAAGAGCCAAACTCAGGAATGGTCGGGAGGATTGGGTGGGATAATTTGGTTAATTACATTACCACCCTTTGAAAAGCCTTATTATTATTATATCATACACATGCTTATTTTTAAAATACTGTTTGTGCACCCATTCTTTCCTCTCATTTTCCTTTAATTATAAAATCAGCCCTAACAATTTTGGATAATTACATTTTCACCCCTTGCAAGTCCTTTTTATTATTATATTATACATCTGTCAATTTTTAAAATATTGCTTGCACCACCCATTCTTTCCTCCCATTTTTCTTTAATTATAAAATTAGCCCCAACATTTTTGGATAATTACATTACCAACCCTTGCAAGCCTTTATTACTATTTTATTATACACATGACAATATTTAAAATATTGCTTGCACCACCCATTCTTTCCTCCCATTTTTCTTTAATTATAAAATTAGCCCCAACATTTTTGGATAATTACATTACCAACCCTTGCAAGCCCTTATTACTATTTTATTATACACATGACAATATTTAAAATATTGCTTGCACCACCCATTCTTTCCTCCTATTTTCCTTTAATTATAAAATCAGCCCTAATATTTTTGGATAATTACATTACCACCCCTTGCAAGCCCTTTTTATTATTATATAATACACCTGACACTTTGTAAAATATTGGTTGCACCACCCATTATTTCCATTTCCACCCTTTTTATTATTATATAATGCACCCAAGCTATGAAGAATTTGCTTTACTTCCAAATATGGGGTGACTTCATTCTTGCTTTTTTCTACGGTATTGTAATTTATAATTTGTGTTTATTATTGGAAAAATGAACATTAATATAACAATTAGATGTCATGATATATATCTTCTATTTACTACAAAATATGAAGCTAATTAAATAGAGCAGTAGCTCCAAATTAACAGAATTTTTGGAAGCCATATTAGACATTTTAGCTCCAAACTAACAGAAACTTCACGAAATACTTGTAGATAATTTACATAATATAATCTGCCATATTACAGAAAATTTATATTATGTGAGACACAAGTGGACTACTCCATCACAAAATTAAATTAAAGAAGAAATAAATGTCTTAAATATAAATAACGCCGCAAGATGGGGTCCGAATACGAAAAACTTCTTCGTCTCCTTGTGAGTGGATGGTAGTCTACCTATTCGAAGGAGGTACCTTCAAGGATCATTCAAACCATAACACCCTTTTCTGTCATTTGCATGTACAAGGCAAAACAAAAACTTGGAAGTTGCATATATCAGTCACTCACCTACGTTGATAAGACGATTAAACCAGTAACCATGCGAAGACGAGAAGCTGACACTTAAGTTATCTTGCCTTCACAAGAACATCAATTTTGTCACCTTAGTCATGCTCGGTGAACCTGAGTACATATGAACAAATACAACACATGTTTCAGCATCCCTAAAGTGAGATATAAAGAGCTAAAGAATTCCCTATAACAAAAAAATTATGCATTATTTAAATCAAAAGTTCTATAAATGAACTATTATGCAATTAGCACTTGTTCTACTTGCTCACTCTTGATAATATTCACTTTCTCTTTCTTAATCTAATCTTAACTACACTTACTGGTGTTCTTAAAACTAATTACCGAGATCTAAAGCAGAATATTCAACTAATCATCCCATACTTAAATCACCCCCAAAAACATAAATTAGAGAGAGACCAATATTTTGAATTGATTTGTAGCTTTCATTCTTACACATCTGGAGCCAGGAAACCCTGCTTCACATGAAAAACAATACAGCCCGGATCCACAATCTTCTTCGGTCGAGCATTCATCCATTACCTGCAAAAATGTAATACGTAAAAAACAATTTTTGTAAAAAAAAAATAGCATTGGAATAATTTTGACTTGGGTAATTTCTAAAATATGATCATGATATTTTGACAAAAATGTGACTAATTAAATATTTTCTCGCAAAATATGTTGGAAAAGTGGAATAAATGCAAACCCCATGTTTGGGAAATGAATTAGTAGTGTTTTCTCTTGCATTAATTAGTAGTATTTTCTAATTTTGAAAAATCTTAAAAAATAAATATATTTTTTAGTTTTAGGAATAAATAATTTCACGAGTATATTTAATTATTCAATCTGAAAAAAGGCACTGCATTTGTTCATAAAGCCAGAATTATCCATTTTAAGTTAGTTGGACTGCTAAAATTATTCTTGACCCAAACACTTAAACCCCAAGAATTTTGTGGCCCATTATCAGCTGTATTTGCTCTAAAATTAAGCGTCATCATTTTCTTCCTTTTTTTGGGAGGAAACGCAAAACGTCTTTCAGCTAAAGCATACCAAAATAATAGACAAATCTATTATTTTATTTTTGTCTATTATTTTGCGTGTGCAGCAGCCTTTCTCTCTCTCCTGTCTTTATTTTATTTAAGAATTATTTCACGTGGCCCACTTATTCTTTCCTCCTCATTTCTCTCTCATGCCTTTATTCTCTTTTATTTAAAATTTTATTTTTCTTCCAACAACTAAAACTAGTAAAAGATTTAATTAATTTATGGTAGCAAATCTTTTTTATTTAGAAATTAAAAAAAAAAATTATAGAAAATTTTAATTTGATCAAAGAAAATTATAATCAACAAAATAACAAGAATATCTATGTTTCAATAATATTTTTGGCCGTGCACCCTCTACCAATTGGTTCATTCTCATATGAAAAGGATATTATTGAAACATAGATATTTTAATTATTGTGTTTCTTTATGTGTTCAGTTATAAATTTATTATAAAAAATACTTAATTCAATTTTTTATTATATTTACTTTTCAAATCAACACAAATTAAATAAACAAAAGTATGTTGCAATTTGCAAAACAGAAATGCTTCTTAATTAATTAGACATTTTATTAGTTTAGCCATTGAAAAAAAAATAATTAAACAAAATAAAAAATGTTAGGAAAAGTTTTTTTAATTAAGCATTTTATTTATTTATTTTTAGTTATTAAAGACAACAATTAAATAAGGAAAATGGAATCTGAAACTAAAAAAGAAAATCAAAAAAATAAAAGGAAAAAGATAGTTCAGGACACGTGACTGAAGCCTTTGAAAAAAAAAAGCAAACTAAGCCAATAACAAGATGACAAGTGTCGGCTTCTTAAAAAGCGCAAGTCAAAGTAGAATTGAAATTGCCTCAATAAATGTCCCATTTGTAAAATAAATTGGGCCAAATGCCAAATGGCCTAGAAAAATAATTGCCCCTGGTGTTCACATATTGAAATTATTTTATATTGTGTGGTTCCAAAGATCTCTTTTTTTTTTTTTTTTTTTTTTTTTTTTTTAATCTTCTTATTCTTAAATCTACAGTAATTCTTTCTTTTTTCTCCAAATTAAATACTTTTTATATTAAAAACTCACAAATAACACAAATTATTCAGTAATTAGGCAACGTATTTACGTCTTTCATGGACACCAGTCACCGCTCATTGGTTTCGTCTACATTTTTCTATTTTTGTTTTATTTATCCAACAAATTTGTTTTTCCTTTTCTTTATATTTCTTTTATTTTATATTAGTTTTTATTTTATATCAGCATCTTGCATACTTAAAGTTTAAGAAATTCCATTTATGTACGTACACACAAACACACACACACACACACATATAATCCAACTACCAGTAGTTGAAACAAATCTTACACTTTACACATTTCTTTCCAACAGTCAGTCTCAAAATATAATAAGGTTTGTTGGAGGCAGAGAGTTACATAACTACATTTTTTTCTCTGTCAAAAAATTACCAAATAATCAAAATCAGATGAAGTTTCTCATTGCAGCTATCTCCCTCTCTTTGCTCTTTTCATCCACAGGTATATATATAATCAATTCCACAACTCTTCGATTTTTTTTTATTTTTTTTATCAATTTCTTTTTGTTTTTTTCGCAGTGGCCTACGACTCGTTAGATCCGAACGGTAACATAACAATCAAATGGGACATAATGGCCTGGACACCAGATGGCTATGTGGTACGGTCAGCACACAAAATTAAACCTTACTTATATCATTATTATTATTATTATTATAATTATTGTTAATTACCGCTAATTAAATTATAGTAATTTTGTTACATGGTTTTTTGATTAATGTGTATGAATATTTATATATATACAGGCAATTGTAACGGTGAACAACTTCCAAATGTACCGGCATATAATGAGTCCCGGGTGGACCGTCGGCTGGACGTGGGCTAAGAAAGAGGTGATCTGGTCTATGGTTGGTGCACAGACAACGGAGCAAGGCGACTGCTCGAAATTCAAAGGGAATATTCCACATTGCTGTAATAAAAAACCCACCGTAGTCGATTTACTCCCCGGGGTTCCGTACAACCAGCAGTTCGCCAACTGCTGCAAAGGCGGAGTTCTAGCGGCCTGGGGCCAGGACCCCCAAGCCTCCGTTTCCGCCTTCCAGGTCAGCGTTGGCCTGGCCGGGACCAATAATAAGACCGTTAAACTGCCGAGTAATTTCACCCTTTTGGGGCCCGGCCCGGGTTACACTTGCGGGCCCGCGAAGACTGTTCCGCCAACTAACTTTCTGTCTCCGGATCGGAGAAGGAAAACTCAGGCACTAAGTAAGTTTTTTTTTTTGTTTTCTTTTTCTTTTTCGAGATTATAAATATTAAATGATTCACTTTTCACCGAAAGCTTAATAATAATTTTTTTTTTATATAAACTGAATAGTGACGTGGAATGTGACGTGTACGTACTCTCAATTTCTAGCACAGAAGCACCCGAGCTGCTGCGTTTCGTTCTCGTCTTTCTACAACGAAACGATCACGCCTTGCCCTTCGTGCGCTTGCGGCTGCGAAAACAAGAACAAATGTGTCAAGTAAATTACTTATATATATATATACCCCTCCATGCATAAATTGTCATTATTATTCTTTTTTTTTTTTCTTAATCATGGTTTCTTGAAAAATTTATAACAGGGGTGATTCCAAGCTCTTGAGTGTGGTGGGGGTGAATACCCCCCGAAAAGACAACGCGCCGCTGGTGCAGTGCACCCACCACATGTGCCCCGTTCGGGTCCATTGGCACGTAAAAACTAACTACAAAGAATATTGGCGGGTAAAAATTGCCGTAACAAATTTCAACTACAGAATGAACTACACGCAATGGACGCTCGTCGTTCAGCACCCGAATCTTAATAACGTCACGCAAGTTTTCAGCTTCGACTACAAGCCCCTTCTTCCCTATGGCTCCATCAGTAATTTCCTTTTTCGCATTTTCAAACAAACAAAAAAAAAACAGAGTATATGTTTTATTTATTTATTTATTTATTTATGATGGTTGAAAATCGAATTGCAGATGATACGGGGATGTTTTATGGGATGAAATTCTATAATGAAATGTTAATGGAAGCTGGTGAATTTGGGAATGTACAATCAGAAGTACTTATGCAGAAGGATACGAACACGTTTAGTCTTAAAGAAGGATGGGCGTTTCCTCGTAAAGTTTATTTCAACGGCGAAGAGTGTACGCTTCCCCCACCCGATTCGTACCCGTTTCTCCCGAATTCGACTCCTTCGAGTCAGACTTTTAACTCGATTTTCATATTTTTTATGGTAATCTTTTCTATGGTTGTAATGTCTTGATCAATGAGTTGTCAAGTTTCATATAGTGTGGAAATTTTTGAAATGTGGAGTGATATTTAAGTGAAAATGAGATGCATTATATTTCCATTTTACTAAAAAAAGAAATAGTGGAAATGTTTGTCCTAACCGCTATTTAAATCAATTATACCAATAATAATTTTCACTAAATTACAAAATCAATTATTCTAAATTATGTTTTATAATTATTTTTGAAACAAAAACTGCACTGTTTGATGATGATTGATGTATAATATTCCTATTAACACATCATGCAAATTGAAATAATTACAAAGAAAATAACAGCGAAATCAGTATCATAAGCACCGGGATATTTTCTCGTAAACCGGAATTCGGTAGAGACGGATATTTATCAGGAGGCGGCATAACACAGTTGTCACCGTTGAAGTATACTCTTCTCGGGAAACCCCAACCCTTTTCGAAACTGAAACTCGACTCCTTTCTGAATAGAAGCTCCGACTGCACGTTTCCGAGCGGGCCCGCTTGATTTAAAAAATCGTTATAAAACTTCACTCCATATAACATTGCAGTATCATCTGTCATAACCCAAAAAACCAAAATAAAAAATAAAAAAATAATATACATATATTCTTTTAAAAAAAAAAAAAAGTGGGCATGAAATATATACTTACTTATAGTTGGGTAAGGACTCAAGGATTTGTAGTTAAAGCTGAATACTTGTGTGAGATTATCGAAGTTCGGGTGTTGTACGACTAAATTCCAATTTGTGTAATTCATCCTATAGTTGAAATTTGATATTGTGACTTTCACACGCCAGTACTCCTTGTAGTTTTGCTTCACGTGCCAATGAACTCGAATCGGGCACATGAAGCTGGTGCATTGGACCAGTGGATCCAAATTATTCGCCTTCTTACGAGCCGAAACAACTGTTTCGATATACGGCGAATTTGGACTACAACGACGCAAAAAAATTAATAATTAGTAAAAAAAGGTAAAATAACAAATGAGAATATATATATGATTAAAAGGGAGAAAAACGAAGAAGAAAAACTCACTCGACGCAGCTTCCTGGCTGAGTAAGGTTATTCATGCATCCACAAGCGCATTTCGGGCAAGGCACAATCTCGTGACTGTAAAACGCCGACATAGAAACGCAACAGCTCGGAATTTTCTGAGCCAGAAACTGCGAATACGTACACTTAACTTTCCACGTCACTGCAAAAATAAAATAAACAAATTTGAGAAAAATAAAAATAAAAAATAATTCACTATACGCAAATGCAAAATGTGCTTACTCATAGCTTGCGTAGCCCTTCGTCCATCTTGAGAGATGAATTTAGTGGGCATGGCTATTTCCGCGGGCCCGCAAGTATAACCAGGGCCCGGTGCCTTGAGAGTGAAATTCTTCGGAAGGTCAACCGTTGTATTAGTGGTCCCCGCTTCGCCGACTGTGAGCTGGAATGAGCTGGCGGAATGAGCCGGAGGATCTTGGGCAAAGGAGTCAATGACTCCTCCTCTGCAGCAATTAGCAATCTGTTGGTTGTAAGGGGTTCCGGGTAATAAATCCACAACCGTTGGATCTTTCTTACAACAATGCGGGATGTTAGAGCCTTGGAATCTCGAACAATCTCCTTGCTCGGTTGTTTGACCGCCAGCCATGGTCAAAATCACCTCCGATTTCGCCCATGTCCACCCGAGTGTCCACCCTGGCGCTTGAATGTGGCGATATTTTTGGAAATTGGATATTGTGACAACTGCCTGTTGGATATTTTTATTCGAAAGTAAGTTAATTTATCTACAAAAATGCATGCTTTAATTATATCATTATAAGGTGTATTATACGTGCCTTGTCGCCACTACTACGTATGCAAGAACGTAAACAAATTTGTAATAAAACTTACGGTGTAGCCGTTGCCTGTCCAAGTTATAATATCCCAATTTATCGTGATATTTCCGTTGGGATCGAGCGCGTCGTAGGCTTCTGAAAAAAAAAATGGTGAAGATAAAAACAAGAATGGATTAAGATAAATCATCAAAAATCTTGTGGTGTTGCTCAATTTATTTATGCTCTAGAGTGTAGACTCTTGGAAGAGGGACAATTTAGGAAATTTGGTGGTGATAATTACTAAGTTGATGAACTATTTCTACCCAATAAAAAAATATGTCTGTTCGAAACAGGGCAGAAATCAAATTAAAAACACCCCATTCATCTCAACAAAACATAAATAAAATCAAGAATTTCGGGTTTACCAAGCATGCAACTATTCATAAAGATCCGAACTTTTTCACGATCGAATCGGACCCATTCAATTAGGCAAACAATTGCATCAATTCTTCATAAATTTTCAGAACCCATTCGACCAAATACACAAACAATTGCGTAATGCCAAAATTTAAATAGGAAACAGAAAAAAAAAAAAAAAAAAAAAAAGAGGAGCAAGGGTTTACCTATTGAAGTAAAGGTGGCGCAAGAAAACAAGAAAAACAGCAGCAGCATTGATCTGAAGCAGAGTCCCATTTCTCCAATAATCAGATTTTGTTGATCTTAAGAGAGAGAGAAATATAGGGTGTAGAGAGAGAGAGAGAGAAATATAGGGTGTAGAGAGAGAGAGAGAGAGAGAGAGAGAGAGAGAGAGAGAGAGAGAGAATAAAAAGCTAGCCGGCAAAGCTTGTTGTTAAGAAGGGAGCTTACTGTAAATAATCAGTGGCAGTGTAACTGGACAGTCTACACTGAAGATGAGTAATGTAATCAGAGATAACTACACATTTTCTATAAGTTATGCAATTTTAATAATAATAATAATAATAATAATAATAATAATAATAATAATAATAATAATAATAATAATAATAATAATAATAATAATAATAATAATAATAATAATAATAAATTAAAGGAGGGCAACGGTTAAAGTTACCACTGGATTACTTGCATTTATTTATTTGCATAGTATTTATTTTAGGTGGAGAGAATCTTTTTTTACATTTAATGTGCTGGTGGTTTTAATCGGTCTTTAATTATTATTTCCTGTTTTTTTTTTTTTTTGGTTGGTAATTCAATTCGAATTAACATGTATTGTTTTTATTTGACTCTTATTAATTGAATTCAATTGAGTGACACGTAGATCTTATTCCCGCCAAATTCTACACAAGGCCCAACTGAGCCCATGGGTCTTATTTATTCGGCCCATATACATAAAAATAAAAATAATAACAATAATAGATGACCAAAAGTTCCTGTGGGCTGGAATGCAAATCTTCACATCTATTTGGGCCTAAAGATAATTTAATCTGGTTATATGAAATTATGTTAATAATAAGATCCAACGGGGGAACAGCCAGATGCAGTCATAGCCGCGCCGCACTGGATCGCCGCCGTCATCCAGACTGTTTCTTTCACCGACTTTTACTTTTTTTTTTTTTTAAATAAATAATATAAACAATAAAACTGCAATTGGTTTTATTTATATTTTAATAATAATTTGTTTTTATTTCTGCACAAGAAAGCTCTGCTCTCATTTGAACACGACGCTGTTTGCCATTTTCGGAAACCTTTCTTCAACCCAGCTCGCTCGACATTATCCAGTTTGCGACGGCCAACGATTTTTTCCGATGGATACAACAGACGGAAGGCGCAGAATTTCAGTTGGTCCAACCGAGATTAATTGGGACAAGTAAGCGCCGGCGATCTCTCTCTCTCTCTCTCTCTCTCTCTCTCTCTCTCTCTCTCTTTTTAAATTTATTAGCGTGGTGTTCCATTGTGTTATAGTTACATTAACTGCGTATCTGATTTTTTAATTTTATTTTTGGTTGTGATTTCTGCATTTTTTTTCCCTCGTTGTTTGGGTGTGCGTGTGTGTTTGGGGCGATTAGGTTGATTAAATTAAACTAGATTACCATATAATTAGTGTTAGGAATCACAATGATTAGCTTCTCGTTTTATGCATTTGGTGGATTAATCATGTTGGATTGGTGTTTTAGAATCGTTTGTAACACAATTGTAGTGATGGGGGTTCATTTAGCATTGGTTCGGAAAAAAATTAGCAGGAAGTTCTGAAACATTTTCACGAAAAAAATCGGAGGAATTCGCTTATTCGTGATTCTGTTTAATTTCTAACTGTAGGTGAGAGGGGGTATTACTTATTCGCAACCCTTTAAACCAGATGTTTAGTGGCCGTGGCTACAAGTTAATATTGCGATAAAATCAAATATGCACGAGCAGTTTGAAATAAATCACTGGAATTAAGTGGCATTAGATACTTCCATTTCTATATTCAGAAATCTATTCGGATGAATTGCAAATTCGACTTTTGGGGAAAACACTGAAAAACTCCGATACCTTTCATTTTACATTCCATTTGATTGTTTTTAGATTCGATTATGATCCTACATCCCTGGACGATATTGCCGCGAACTGAACCCTTTATTTAGTATAGACTGATTTGAACTGAATTTCTTTTTCTTTTTTTCGCTTTTCGGTCTCAATGGGCATAAGTTTCTTGTTTTTCGGTTACTGACGAGTGGACAAGTTTGTTTTGACAAGATTTGAGTGTTCTATTGTGTGGTAATTAGAATCTTTGTAGATACTTATGTTATTCTACACTCCTTCAGGCTTGATAAAATGAAGTTCTACTCAGTCGGAGCTGGAATATTCACCGGAATTACAGTGGCGCTCTATCCAATTTCAGTAGTGAAGACAAGGCTGCAAGTAGCTTCACACGATGTTGTAGAGAGAAACGCGTTTTCTGTTGTAAAGGGCTTGTTAAAAGCAGATGGGATTTCTGGATTATATAAAGGTTTTGGAACCGTAATTATCGGAGCAGTACCTGCAAGAATTATATTCCTCACTGCATTAGAGACAACGAAAATTGCTGCTTTCAAGATGTTGGAACCTTTGAAATTATCGGAGCCTTCACAGGCAGCTATAGCAAACGGAGTTGCTGGCATGCTGGGGTCTCTTTGCTCACAAGCTGTATTTGTTCCCATTGATGTGGTACGATTCTCGTATCTCATTTAATTTATTTATTTTTTTGTTTTTTTTTTGTTGTGCCCTCTACAATGTTCCGATAATTCTGAAATGGTTTGACCAAAAAATCGTATATTGGAAAGTAAAACAAAAGCTTCTAGATTGTTCCTTTCTTAGCACGGTAATTGAAGTGCCTTGTCGGATGATTTATTTATTTATTTATTTGGCTTATATTTTCTTGATGAACTTTAAGAAATATATCAGAAAGGCTAAAATTAATTTAACGTGTGTTTTAAAAAGGTTAGTCAAAGGTTGATGGTGCAAGGGTATTCTGGGCATGCGGCTTATAGTGGAGGAAGAGATGTGGTTCGTAATATCATTAAGTCTGACGGTATTCGAGGATTGTATAGGGGATTTGGGCTGTCAGTTATGACATATTCACCTTCGAGTGCTGTTTGGTGGGCGAGTTATGGTTCCAGTCAACGCGTAATTTGGAGGTATGCTTTTGAACGTTGTTTTCAATTTGGCAGTTTTTTGTATTATTCTCAAGTTTCTGTCAATTAGATTTGTTTGGTGTCAATTAGTGTGATTTTTATCTTGTTCGATAATCGATACCCTTTTTAGTTCCATACTGAATGCCGCCATAAGCCTTATGCTCTCTGGTGTTTCTTCACAACGAATAGTTTGCAGCAAACAGTTAGCTCAAGTATTTCATCTTTCAAGTTATATTTTGGAGGATCTAAACTTATGATTGAGTGATATATGTGAGATTTGAGACCAAGCTAGGTGATAAATTTCATGTTCCCATGTCTATTTTTCATGTCTGAATATGTAACAGACTCCTAGATCGAGATGGGACAGCTTCAGACAAAGGGAATGTTGTGCTGGTTCAAGCGGCTGGAGGGATTATTGCCGGTGCTACAGCATCATGCATCACAACCCCATTGGATACCGTAAAAACTCGTCTGCAGGTATTTAGCTACTTAATATTTGACTTTGCAATTATTTAAACATCGGTAACTTATTTTCATGAAATAACGTGAAAAAAAAACGAGCAACAGCCTGAATCGGGAGCCTAGTCCAATTGTTTAATCAATGGTTTATGTACTTTTTAGGTGATGGGGCATGGAAAACGACCCAGTGCAAGGCAAGTGGTTACGAAACTTATCGCTGATGAAGGATGGACTGGACTTTATAGAGGCCTTGGCCCTCGTTTCGTCAGCACATCTGCATGGGGAACTTCTATGATTCTTGCTTACGAATATCTAAGTCAGTTCTTTTTTATTTTTCACTCGATCTTTTTTTCTGTCACTAATCTTTACTATTCTTGATCTCTAATATCTAATATTCAGTGCTTGATTGATTAGCTTTACATGTTACTATAATTTGTGGCGCTCTTTAATTTGAACATTGAAGATTTTTCTTCGACTGTTTTCATGTACTTTGGCAGGCTGAATTTTGTTCCTAGTTTTAGTTCATGGTACTAATTTTTTTCCCCTACCGAATATGCAGAGCGCCTATGTCAAACAGAGGAATAAACTTGGCAACAATGGCGAATTGAGATTGTATATTTTGGTAGGTGACGAGATTTATCTTAGAGCAATCCATTACAGAAATAATACAGTACTGCTAGAAACTGTTCGCTTTGCATGCGAACACGATAACAGGAAAACCGACCGTTTGTTTACGGGTTCGGAAAAAAATCAGCGTAATTGGCAGTTGAATAACTCTGCCTATTTACGATAAATATTGTTGCCATAATTCTTTTTCGGTGGATCGATATATTCATTCTTTAGTTTCGAACAATCGAAAAATGTTAATGGATTTAGTTTGTTTATGTGATAGAGAACCCATTTCTCCATTTTTGTTGTGCACTATTTTCAGCTCCATTTTCTTTGGCTGCTACCATTGGTAGGGCTGATGTCATATATTAACCTATTCTTCCATTTTGCTGTCACAAACCACAGCTCTAAAAAATTGACTATAATATATACTATAAAATCAAAAAACCTAAAACTTAAAAGTATGTAGATATTACTCCAATTATTTATTTATGTTAACTTGCATAAATCTTATAACATGGCTCTACTAAATTAAAAGTTAAAGCAATGTGCAAAAAAATGGTATATTGTCAATTCACAATCACGAAGATATTTATTCCATTTTTATTCAAAACTCAACACAATCGTGTAGATAAATTACGATATGCTGAGATCGATCAATTAGAATAATAATTTAGACTAATCGCATTCACACATACATAGCGTTGAAGTAGATGATGTTCTAAAACAAAGGCCACGTCTGTAGCCTAACGCGGAACACCGTTTCAAGCAATCATCGCCGCCGACTCTACATTGTCTTTTTTGTGGATCAAAACATTGATTACCCATGCTCTCCTCTGCAATATACCAAAATTAGAAGGCAAAAAAAAAGTTAAGTAAGATGATTGCTTAGTGGCCTTCATTAAATAAGATTTCACGATATATGTGTATTGATAATTACTTACTAATAAGTACGTGTGTGCGATTGTGTACGAGTTTAAGGTACAGTATATTTCACTAGGTGTAAAATGTAAGTGCATTTCCAAAAAAGAAAAGAAAAGATACATATATATATATATATATATATATATATATATATATATATATGTGCATTAGCATATGTATGAGTGAGTGCATGCAAGTTTAAGGTATAAAACTCTTATGTAATTCACCGTGTACAAGAGCGAGATTTGATAGGAAAAAACAACTTACGAGCAGCAAAAATAGAAATCAAGAAGAAAACACACATAAACAGAGTTTTGGCCTCCATGATAATATTCTCGCTCCTTATTCACATTACAATTGATCCTCGTTCAAACTACACTTGACGAAAATCATTTAGAAATGCCTCTCAATTTATAGCTCATAATAGCATTACCTACTCTATAATTTGAATATGAATTCTCCACGATCATAGTACATAGTTTTTGGAATTGTTCACTAATTAATACCAAAAACCATGGTAAATTGATTCTAGGCTAATAATTGATTGTCCGTGATTTATTTATTTTAATGGTCAATGGTTTGATTTGGACGGAAAACACTTTTTGCCTTATTTCCTTCAATTAAAATTCAATCAACCAACATTTTTCTGCAATTTCATTTTTTATTATCGGATATATATATATATATATATATATATATATATATATATATATATATATATATAATAAAATATATTTTTATTTAATAATTGTTTGCTGATTGATAACCCATTAAGCCAATTAAATCCACTTGGCCCAACTGCTACTTTTATAATCGGCCAATCTCCTTCATTTATATTAAATACCAGCCCATCTCTTTCCTTGAAGTGACAAAACGCTGTCGTTCCATTAACTATAGTTCCACCAAAGCCAGATGACCAATTAATCAGCCAATAAGAGGAAATAATATATATATATTTATATATCTCATTTTCACTTAAATATCACTCCACATTTCAAAAATTTCCACACTAGATGAAACTTGACAACTCATTGATCAAGACATTACAACCATAGAAAAAATTACCATAAAAAATATGAAAATCGAGTTAAAAGTCCGACTCGAAGGAGTCGAATTCGGCAGAAATGGGTACGAATCGGGTGGGGGAAGCGTACACTCTTCGCCGTTGAAATAAACTTTACGAGGAAACGCCCATCCTTCTTTAAGACTAAACGTGTTCGTATCCTTCTGCATAAGTACTTCTGATTGTACATTCCCAAATTCACCGGCTTCCATTAACATGTCATTATAGAATTTCATCCCATAAAACATCCCCGTATCATCTGCAATTCGATTTTCAACCATCATAAATAAATAAAACATATACTATGGTTTTTTTTTGTTTGTTTGAAAATGCGAAAAAGGAAATTACTGATGGAGCCATAGGGAAGAAGGGGCTTGTAGTCGAAGCTGAAAACGTGCGTGACGTTATTAAGATTCGGGTGCTGAACGACGAGCGTCCATTGCGTGTAGTTCATTCTGTAGTTGAAATTTGTTACGGCAATTTTTACCCGCCAATATTCCTTGTAGTTAGTTTTTACGTGCCAATGGACCCGAACGGGGCACATGTGGTGGGTGCACTGCACCAGCGGCGCGTTGTCTTTTCGGGGGGTATTCACCCCCACCACACTCAAGAGCTTGGAATCACCCCTGTTATAAATTTTTCAAGAAACCATGATTAAGAAAAAAAAGAAAAATAATGACAATTTATGCATGGAGGGGGGTATATATATATATAAGTAATTTACTTGACACATTTGTTTTTGTTTTCGCAGCCGCAAGCGCACGAAGGGCAAGGCGTGATCGTTTCGTTGTAGAAAGACGAGAACGAAACGCAGCAGCTCGGGTGCTTCCGTGCTAGAAATTGAGAGTACGTACACGTCACATTCCACGTCACTATTCAATTTATATCAAAAAAAAAACAATTATTATTAAGCTGTCCGTGAGGTGAATCATTTAATATCTCAAAAAAAAAAACTTACTTAGTGCCTGAGTTTTCCTTCTCAGATCCGGAGACAGAAAGTTAGTTGGCGGAACAGTCTTCGCGGGCCCGCAAGTGTAACCCGGGCCGGGCCCCAAAAGGGTGAAATTACTCGGGAGTCTAACGGTTTTGTTAGTGGTCCCCGCCTGGCCAACGCTGACCTGGAAGGCGGAAACGGAGGCTTGGGGGTCCTGGCCCCAGGCCGCCAGAACTCCGCCTTTGCAGCAGTTGGCGAACTGCTGGTTGTACGGAACCCCGGGGAGTAAATCGACTACTGTCGGCTTCTTATTACAGCAATGTGGAATATTCCCTTTGAATTTGGAGCAGTCGCCTTGCTCCGTTGTCTGTGCACCAACCATGGACCAGATGACCTCTTTCTTAGCCCACGTCCAGCCGACGGTCCACCCGGGGCTCATTATATGCCGGTACATTTGGAAGTTGTTCACCGTTACAATTGCCTGTATACATATATTTATACACATTAATCAAAAACACCATGTAACAAATTACTATAATTTAATTAGTGGTAATTAACAATAATTATAATAATAATAATAATGATATAAGTAAGGTTTAATTTTGTGTGCTGACCGTACCACATAGCCATCTGGTGTCCAGGTCATTATGTCCCATTTGATTGTTATGTTACCGTTTGGATCTAACGAGTCGTAGGCCACTGCGAAAAAAACGAAAAGAATTTGATAAGAAAAAAAATAAAAAAATCGAAGAGTTGTAGAATTGATTATAATTTATAAATATATACCTATGGATGAAAAGAGGAAAGAGAGGGAGATAGCTGCAATGAGAAACTTCATCTGAGTTTTCATGTAATGTGTGCTGATTTTGATTCTTTGGTAATTTTTTGACAGAGAAAAAAATGAAGTTTTATGTAACTCTCTGCCTCCAACAAACCTATTATATTTTGAGACTGTTTGGAAAGAAATGTGTAAAGTGTAAGATTTGTTTCAATTATTATGTGTGTGTGTGTGTGTGTACAGAAATGGATTACTTTAATTTCAAGTATGAAAAGATGCTACTTTTATAATCGGCCAATCTCCTGTCAAGATCCAAGGATATAATAATATTTATTTATTGTAATTTATTATAATATTTATGTTTACTGTATTAATTGAAGAGATTGAGATGAGAATAGAAAGACTTGAGAAGGAAGAAAGTAAGAAAGGAAAGGATTAGTGAAACTTTTCATAAGAACATTCCTCACACCCAATGTGGTATAAATACCCCTTCCAACGTAGGGAATATTTTCTACCCTAGCCCACTAACAATAACATCAGCAAGGCTTAAAACAAAATAGACAAAATAACTACTGGGCTTAAAACAACAAATGGCCCAACCAAAATTAAAACAAATAACATAAGTGGACTGCTAAACTCGGCCCTTAGCCCCGAAATCCGGTCCAACCAAAACGGCATCGTTTTGTCCTTCAATCTCTTCCTCAATTCCCGATTGTGCCAAGACTCCTCCTTTAACAATTCTAGGGTTTCTCTTCTTCTTCAGCCCCCAATTTATCTCAATCTCATCCTTCTTCTTCTCATTCATTCCAATTCTCGATCCCCTTTGTTTCTTTCCTCCCCAGGCTATAACATTACCCCCCCCCCCCCCCCCCTTGAAACGATTCTTGCCCCCAAGAATCCGTAGTAGGGTCGGCGTTCGTGGGCTCCAAGGTGTCATCCATGGTTGCAGGTGGAGCTTGTGTAACAGATGCCGTAGGCTTCACAGTGCGCTTCAGCAGGGATACATGGAAGACATTGTGGATCTTCGCCCCTTCAGGTAACAACAGCTTGTATGCTACCTTTCCAATTTTAGCAATAATAGGATAGGGGCCGTAGTATTTGTTGGCTAATTTCTGATTTGCTCGGGAAATGACAGAGTTCTGTCTGAATGGTTGTAGTTTAAGATAAACTTCCTCTCCTACCTCAAAAGATCTTTCAATTCTGGGTTTATCTACATACCATTTCATTCTGGCTTGAGCCTGAATGAGATTTTGTTTAATTAACCCCCATGCCTCAATTCTTTGCTGCACCATAGCTGATACCTCAGGGTTGATACTGTCTAAATAGGGGCTTAGTGATAGGTGATTAGGTGAATACCCATACAATGCTTGGAAAGGTGACATCTTGAGACTGGTATGGTAGTTTGTATTGTACCAGTACTCAGCCAAAGAGATCCACTTCATCCATCTGTGAGGGTGCTGGCTAGTACAGCACCTGAGATAATTTTCCAAGCATTGGTTTAGCCTTTCTGTCTGTCCATCACTCTGAGGGTGGTAGGCTGAGCTCATAGTCAGTTGAGTACCTAGCAGTTTGAATAACTCCACCCAAAAACTGCTAGT